AGTAAAAATAGGGGTGCCTGGGTGGCTCAGTTGTTCAAAGTGTCTGACTTCGGCTCAGGTCATGATCTTCCAGTTCGTGAATCCAAGCCCCTCATTGGGCTCTATGCTAACAGCTCAGAGCCTGGAGCCTGCTTCAGATTCTGTGTCTCCCTCTGTCTCTGCTTCTCTCTCTCTCTCTCTCTCTCAAGAAGAATAAATCTTAGAAAATTAAAAGTAAAAATAGCACAGCACAAACATGAGGTGGCATTATTGTTTTTCACCCTTTCCCTTTATTTTATCCCCTCATTCTAGTCTTTTTTGCCTTCTTTCTGTTTCTTTTCTTTCTCTGAATTATTTAAGTCACTTATTTTGTGCTTTCGTTTTATTGTAATATCCCTCTCCTCTCCTTTCTCGTTCCCTCTTTTTTAAAGCCAATTTCTCCAAATACGTGTTCTTGATCTGTTAATTCTGTTGTCTCTACTCCTGAGCCTCCTTCTTTCCCAGTCTAATTCCCATGGGCAACTGCAGAATAGAAGGAAGGAGAAAAGGCAAAGGAGGACAGAGAAGAAGAAGGGAGTATTATTTCACTTCATACTTGCCATAACCATATTGTTAATCAATAAAGCTAATTCAGATAAGAAAACAGGATTACATTAAAAATAGCTTTTTTTAAAAGATACTGGTTGGCCCATAGGCATGCATTTGTGCAGCTCATGTGACTGTGCCAAGAAATTTTAAGCACACGTCAAGCTCTTCACATCGTAACAGTAACAAGTCCTGAACCATTCACAGGTATGTCCTGGATGATGAATACACAAGCTCAGTAGGCTCCAAATTTCCAGTCCGGTGGTCTCCACCAGAAGTCCTTATGTATAGCAAGTTCAGCAGCAAATCTGACATCTGGGCTTTTGGTGAGTGGATAAAATTATACAGATTATACAGCTCAAAGGAAGGGGAAGCAGTGGGGAAATTGCCACTTTGTAACCTGTGCACAGAGGTTACTATTTTTTTTGTTTTCGTTCTACCAGTCCTTAGAGACTGCTTACTATTGTCAGGCACCACAGGGGTTCCTGGGGCTCAAAAGAGTAAACTAGACATGATCCCTGCCTTCTTAGAACTTACAATACATTGAGAGGAACAATTTATTCAGTATTCCACAGCATCTGAATACTGATTATGTACCAAGGGACTCTGCCAGATCCTATAATTACAAAAACAAATGAGATGCTGTCTCTCTCCTAGAAGAGCTAATAGTCCGGTACAATCCTGTTTACCCTCCAGTGTGGTCAGTACTATAGCAGAAGTTTGGACAAAATACAAAATTCACAGTGTGGGGAATCAGCTGCATCTAATATTTGACATTGATCTAGGAAGACTAGGATCCCATCTTTCTGAAGAGACTGCAAATCGACATAATACCTTTTTTCATTTTCTAGGAGTTTTGATGTGGGAAATTTACTCTCTGGGGAAGATGCCATATGAAAGATTTACTAACAGTGAAACAGCTGAACACATTACCCAAGGCCTACGTCTCTATAGACCTCATCTAGCTTCAGAGAGGGTATATAGCATCATGTACAGCTGCTGGCATGAGGTAAGTGTTTTATTGGGACCTCTTAAATGATTTCCTTGAGCTGTACTTTCCCATTTAGCCAGCCAGGCATCCAGTTCCCATGCTCCCTGGCCACGAGGCCACTGGGCACACACCGATAACAGCACACATCCTTGGACCCAGCCTGTACCCTAGTCCTTCAGTGGACAGAGGCTTTCCCAGGCTCATCCAGTTCTCTCTAGAGCATCATTAGCAGACTCCATTACTAACTCAGCTTTAGGAAAAGGGGATGTTGTGGGGCCATGTCACCTAGCATAAGCAGGCAGTTAACAGTACTCAGGCAAATGTATGGACACTTACAATGAAGAGAAAAGTCATTAAAATTTGTGTTGATTCCTTTGGAAGTCATTGCCTCTTTCTTCTACTTTACTAACTATGAAACTTTTCTGGCTGTGGTCCTAAATGTCATTTAAAAAAAAACTGAAAGGAACTAAAATAGGTAGCGATCATTTTTTAAATTTTATTTTTTAAATGTTTATTTAGTGCTTTTGAGAGAGAGAGAGAGAGAGAGAGAGAGAGAAGCAGGGGAGGGGCAGAGAGAGAGGTGGACAGAGTATCCAAAGCAGACTACTCCATGCTGACAGCAGAGAGACTGATGTGGGGCTTGAACTCATGAACCACTGACCTAAGCCAAAGATGACATTTAACTGACTGAGCCACCCAGGCATCCTGGTAGTGGTCATTTTTTTTTTTAAATATGGTGCTTAATGTGGTATGTGGGTAGAGGCGGTATTTTGCAAATAAGGAGCCTGTCCTGCTATTACTAAAATGTTTTTGCTGCTCTCACCTTGAGTTCTTTCACAGGTACTTTCCATGTTTCAGTAGATCCTTGGAAACATTAATTTGGCACCCTAAATATCTAGTAGGAAATGAATGCTTGGCTTAGTTCTGTGCCACTAGAAACAAGGAAGGACAGTGTCCAACAAGCATATATGTGAATTGGGAGCCCTCTTGGTGGGGTGAAAAGTGGGTATCTAGAGCATAGCATGGTTCCCTTCCCTTCAACAAATTACTGAGGTCACAAAGGATGTGTGGAGAAAGGGACAACCATTTCCCTTCTCTCTCCTGTGCCATGAAGGATTAAGGGGGATTGACAATGCTCCCTCCCAATTAGGACATCCTCGCTCTGCTAGTTAACTGTTTCAGACAGGTGCTTTCTTCACAGCCTGTTTAAAGTATTACTCATGAGGGGCACCTGGGTGGCTCAATCAGTTAAGCCTCTGGCTCTTGATTTTGGCTCAGGTCATGATCTCATGGTTCCTGAGAGCAAGCCCCACATTGGGCTCTGCTCTGACAGCATGGAGCCTGCTTGGGATTCTCTCTCTCCCTCTTTCTGCTCACCTCCCCACCCCCACTCAGGCTCTCCCACTGTCTTTCTCTGTCTGTGTCAAAATAAATAATTAAACATTTAAAGAAAAGTAATACTCATGAAATTGGATGCATATCAGAATCCCTGGGGAACTCTTAAAGCTGCAAATGACTGGGCCTTACTTCCAGAGATTCCAATTAGATATGTCTAAAGCAGAACCCAGAAAAGTCTTTTCAAATGTCCCAGGAAATTCCTTTTTTTTTTTCTTGCGAATAGTTTATTGTCAAGTTGGTTTCCATATTGTCCCAGGAAATTCTGATACTCAGATAGGTTTAAGAACCACTGATTCAAAAGAACAAGAAATTGATGACTTTTAGATTCTGATGGATTGAGAGCTTTCTGGCATGAATATGCCCTGAATCACAAAATATCTCAGGGGTTTATGGACCATGGAGGTCACAAAGGGTCTTAGTCTAAAGGCCAGACAGTGGTAATCAAAATGTCCAAGTGATGCAGCCCATGATCTTGAACTGCTAATTTCTTTGTAAAACTTTGGCTGTGGAATGATAGAAAGCGTATTTGGAAGCTTACAGTTTCAGTTCTGTCAAACATTTAAACTTGTTCAGTAGCCATTTTTCACTTCAGGATACACAATAAGGATGCATTGGTGTACAATTTTGTAATGAATTTACTATCACTTTAATCAGTGTCTGTGGGTTTAATTTGCAAATTGTCCCATCACATTAATAACCTGAGTTACTAAAGAGGAAAAGTGCACAAGGATGTTATGGAGCACTTCCATTTCTTTTCCTCTTTCTTTCTCTCATTCATTCTTTTGTGTGTGTAATTGACAGGGTATGCTACAGGGCATATCGTATACACTTAAACATTTGCTGCTTACGCAGTGCATTTCCATTGAATTGTGAATTCTAGCCCACTATTACACTATACTTTTTCTTTGGTTTTAGAAAGCAGAGGAACGTCCTACTTTCAAAATTCTTCTGAGCAACATCCTAGATGTCATGGACGAAGAATCCTGAGCTCACCAATAAGCTTCTTGGTTCTATTCCTCTCCTCCACAAGCCCCAATTTCACTTCTGAGGAAATCCCAGGCTTGCTGGCATTGGAGCCTTTGTGCTCTTGCTGAATACACAAAGGTTCCCCTCTACATCTAAGAATGACACTCTTCTTTGATTCTCTGGAATAGTACCTTCTGAGCAAAAGCCAAAGAATTATTGTGCCTGTTATTGTCCTCAGAGAGAACAATTTCCAGGAGTATTAAGACAGGACTGAATTTGGGATGGAAGGTTTGGGGGACGGAGGGATGTAAATAGCCTGACGAGGTCCAACAGCTCTTTGGGTAGACATTAGAGCTTGGGGGGAGGGAGGCAGAATTTGGCAAGAATAAAACGGTGTCATTACAAATGGGAGGGCAGGGTGTTTTGATAAAATAAAATTACTGGAAAGCATGAAGTTTTCTTGCTATCTCAATTAATCTCACAACTTCCCTGAAGCGCCCTATCTCAGTGTTCCAGAGAACTGTTGCGTGGCATTGGTTTGGCAGGTTCCTACTTTGAGAACTAGACAAGATCCACGGCAATTTAATCCCTCTGGCTCTTGGAAAATTCTGGCTCTGAATCACAGCCAAACTCACAAGCATATCACCAGTGCCTGGCACACAGCAGGCACACAGCATTACCGGAATTAACCTGAAAGTTGGGGACAAATTCTGCAGGAGCCTCTTTCCCCTACGTCAGGAAGGGGGAAACCATCAAAGAACTGGGGCTCCAGGATGGCTAAGAGACGGGCCTAGGCGTCTGGGTTGACATGCACCAGCGCAGCGGCAGGAAAAGCACGGGCCAATTTGGAAGCGGGCAGGGCCGGGGCTGTTGGGCGGGCCAGAAACCGGCCGCCTGGTGTGAAGTAACTTCCTTTCTCGCCTTTGAACCTTTCTCTTTGGAATAGCATCTCGACTGACCGCACCGCGAAACTGGGCGGCCAGCCCGGAGGCCTACTGTCTGACGCAAAGCGCGGCCGCTAGGTCGCGGTCAGGAGCCAGGATCACAGGCGGCTGGGAGGAGCAGCAGGCAGGCGGGAGGGTGATGGGCCTCACGCCGGCGCACTGAACTCACAGGGCGGGCCTGGAGGCGGTGGGTTGTGGTTCCGGTTCCGTCGCGGAGACACGTGAAGGTCGGTGCTTTGCTGCGGAGTTCCTCTCTGCACGCGTGGCGGAGCTGGGATGGATGCCTCTTCGTCTTCGTCCGCGGCAGGTTTGGGCTCGGTGGACCCTCAGCTGCAGCACTTCATCGAAGTGGAGACTCAGAAGCAGCGCTTCCAGCAGCTGGTGCACCAGATGACGGAACTTTGTTGGGTGAGGAGCTGGGGCTGGGACCTGGCCACATTCCCTGCTTTCCCCCAGCCCTGCCGGGCAGGACTCGCCAGGAAATCCAGGATTCGGAGACGGGGAGGACCCGGTAGCATCTTGCCTTGGTTTCCTCTGTTTTCTCAGACCAAGCGGGAGGGGAGAGAGGGTGACTCCACTTCTCAGGGGATTCTCACACTAGACCTTGCTTTGTTGGTGCAGAGGACTGGGGATCACACCCGTCCCGAGCAGCACTTTAGGCACCTGAGGTTGTCGCTGCCTGGTGCTGGTCCCTAAGACTGATGAGCGCCACCAATACTGAGATCTTATTTTTGGAACCCTGATTCCCAGGAAGAGAGTCTCCCGTTTCTAGACTCCTCAGCGTTAACCTGGATTGCCCAGTTACTTTAACCGTTGCCCATGAGAAATGAGTGGCTGTACCCACTAACTGTAAAAGTGGCGTAATCTCCCCCACATACACACTTAAATTTGCTTCCAGACAGTTTCAGGTCTGAAGGTTGAGGAGTTGAATAGACCCTGTGAGGGGACTTTGCAAAGTGTGGAAAGGCATTTGCAGCTTGGAATCAAAGTGTTCTCTGGCTGCCAAGGACAGCATAATGGCCCTGCCTTGAGGGGAAGAAAAAAAAAAAAAACTTACCGAATTCGGAGGCCAAGGATAATTTTCCTTGGAAGTGAAGAGTCTGAGGTTTGTATACACAGCAGAGAATAATGAGTAAAATTCATTTAAACCACTTAACTTGAACTATATACAGTTATCGGTTCCGTAGTCCCTTTCACATAAACTTAAAGTCTTACGGGACTCTGACCCCTAACAAATACTTACTTAACTCTTGTACTCCTTGGTACTTTGATTAAAAACAAACAAACAAACAAACAAAAAAAACACCTGTAATTCATTACATTTGGGCCAGAAGGAGGTGTGGTTAAGGATTCCTTTAAGAATTTGTAATCTGTGGGCCCTTCAGGAAAATTTATACAATTTTCCATTCATCTTGAGAGGATCCAAGAACTTCTGGCTTAAGTAGACAAGGTTACAGAATTTTGGGTAGTAGATTTCGTTTTTGTTTGGTAGGTTTTAGGGTGTCATTGCTGTGATTTATCCTTTCACACTCTCCCCCCACAGTTACTCTAAAGGCATTTAATGGCGGCAGCATTGTGGAGTTACAACCAAATTCAGCGATAGTTGCTTCACTTCTATCCCCCCCCCCCTCTTTTTTCCCCTCTGTAATAGCGCCACCATTTTCGGGTCCAGTAATTTTGGACAAACTGTCTCTGCCACTGCTTCCCTCTTTGTAAAATAAGTGTTAATAATAGTATCTATTCTGTAGGGTTGTTGTGAGAATTTAATGTAAGGCTGTAAATAACTGCTTGCCATATGCCAAATGAGAAATATTAACATAACAGATACTGGGTTTAGGTGAAGTTTTTCCTCTAAATAGCAAGAAGTTACCCCTCCCCTTTCCCCCCAAGTTCTCTTTGTGATTCTGTATCTTGTCCTGAGCAGGAGAAGTGCATGGACAAGCCTGGGCCAAAGTTGGACAGTCGGGCTGAGGCCTGTTTTGTGAACTGCGTTGAGCGCTTCATTGATACAAGCCAGTTCATCTTGAATCGACTGGAACAGACCCAGAAAACCAAGCCAATTTTCTCAGAAAGCCTTTCTGACTGATCTCAGAATTACCTCTTTGGAAAAGGAAGGTAGTTCAAGAAATGAAGAGCTGTTGATGGGATAGTTGAAGAAAAGGCTATGGGGGGATTGGCTCCCACCTTTGTCACTCTTGGGACATCCTGTCGTCTGAGAATGAACAAAGACCAATTGTGTGTGTGTGTGTGTGTGTGTGTGTGTGTGCGCGCTCGCGCGCACGCACGCGCGTGTGCTTTGAGGATCATGTGTATTTGGCTGTGTTTTTTAATGCTAATGTTGTTAAAACAATTGACAGATGAATGGAAAACTACTAGATGCATATTACTGTATGTGGGACTGTGCTTTCTCAAAGTCCCATTAATTGCTCCCTATAATTTTGATAGTGGAACTGCTTTCTCTAATTTGATAGTGGGACCACATAGGTACAATCTGTCATTTGCATGGATTCATTTCAGATTTCTGGGGAGATTGTTGTACATCTTTGTGTCTTTCAGAAAGGGCAACAGTGGGCAAAGAGTAATTTGCTACTTAACTGTAGGCCTCCTCATCTAGTGATCTATCAGTGCTGGAAAAAAAAATCTATGAGATGTTAATACAATATACTTCAGCTTTCTAGATTATCTCCCTTATGCTGTGATTTACTTCTGTAAGGTGTGGTCTCAAGATAGTACAGGTAGCTTGAGTGCCTAGAGGCCTTTGGTTATAAAGGAATCTAGCCAGTAAGCATAATACTCATTACTAAACTGCCACGAGAAAGAAGCTTACTTACACTTTATATCAGGGTTGAAAAAATTCAAAGATGTGCCTAAATAGGTTGTAAAGATTTAGGCCAGTCAAGAACTAACAGCAGTTTCAGGTAGAGGTGCATGCCTAATGTTAATCAGTATAGGTTCCATTTATTGCATCCTTTTAATCACTGAAATAAAAGCTTCTACAAAATTCAACTCTGATTGAGAAGGCTTTCTATTCTGGTTTTCACCTGCACCCTGGAGAGATTTCGGTTTAGGCTGTTTCTAAGACTGAAGGGTAGTCAATCAGGGTACCTCCTCTGTGTAAGGAACAGCATGGTATTCCAGGAATCTCTGACCTTTATGTGAGAAAAAGAGAACCTTGAGGTGAGATGAGATGAGATGGGTAGCGAAGGAATTCAGTGTTGACAGTCTGTTCCTGAGTGTAGTGGGAGAGGTTATATTGACTGGATTCCCCTCCTATCTTCAAATCCTAGTAGTATACTGGAGTATAGACCTAAAGTGGAACTGCCTGTTGGGAGTCTCTAGTTCAAGCCCACGAAGGTTGGGAAAATACACATTTCTAGAAGCCTCAAGTCCTTTTAGCTTTCCACTGTATATGTACTACAAGGAAAGTTTTAAAAATCTTGATGAAAAAATTCAACAAAAGTTTTTTTTACATTTTATTTACTTATTTTGAGAGAGAGCATGAGCAGGAGAGGAGCAGGGAGGGAGGAAGAGAGAAAGAGAGAATCCCAAGCAGGCTCTGCAGAGCCTGACATGAGGCTCGATCTCATTCTCACAAACTGAGATCATGACCTGAGCTGAAATCAAGAGTCAGATGCTTAACCAACTGAGCCACCCGGGCACCCCCACCAAAAGTTTTAAGTGATTATTCTGTGCCAGATACTTTCTGGTGCCAGGGATTCAGGAGTACCCAAAAAGCAAAGGAGTGCCATGGAGAAAAAGCAGAGTATGAGGTATTAGGGAATGATTGTGGGGGTATTGTGATTTGAGACAAGATGGTTAGAGAAAGCCTCCTTGGGAACATGGCATTTCAGCAGAGACCTGAAAGAATTAAGTCACCAAGCCATGTTGGAAGAATATTTCAGGCAGAGATGACAGAAAGTCCAAAGGCCCCAAGGTCAGAGCAGCATGCTGTGATGCTAAGGTAGAATAGACAAAAGGTCATTATGGCTGGGGTGAAATGAGTAAGGAGAATGGTAAGAAATAAAGTCAGAGACCTATGCATGAGAGGGATTGGGGCTGGGAGGCAGGGACGTGCACTGATCACACAGGGTGTTGTAGGCTATTGCGAGGGTTTGGTTTTTACCAAGCAAGATGGGGAGCCATTTGAGGGAGTTTAGCAGATGAGTGGCATGATATAATTTAAGTTTTAGGGGGGTCTGGCTGCTGTTAGTAGATTACTACTCTACATGTGTAGAGTAGTAAGAATAATGGCATTTTGAAGTCTAGGAGAACTCGGGCTCTTCGGTTAGGTATCTAGCATACGCTTCAAGTCATAAAGGGAGGGTCTTTTAGTCTTTGCCTTCTTATTCATTCTTCTTCACTCTTTTTAAAAAAAATTTAAGGTTTTATTTATTTCTGAGAGAGAGATAGCGTGAGCAGGGAAGGGTCAGAGAGAGAGGGAGACACAAAATCTGAAGCAGGCTCCAGGCTCTGAGCTAGCTGTCGGCACAGAGCCTGACATGGGGCTTGAACCCACAAACCGTGAGATCATGACCTGAGCCGAAGTCAGACACTTAACCGACTGAGCCACTTAGGTGCCCCTTTACTCTTCCTTTTTATTATATATTATTATGATGTCATTATTTATTAACTATATATTCCTTGTTACTCTTGCTTCACTTAGTATTAAAATATTCTCATATTTAGGCACAAAGTTAACTGTTTTGTTTTACAGTGTTACTGTTTGCTCAGCTAATGTACATAATGAGAGAGTCAGATTGATACGTGCTTGAGCACCAAGTATGTGTTTGACTCTGCTAGGTACAAGATAATGGGAAAGAAAAGGCAGAACATTTCCCCTGTGTGCGAGGAGGTTAAGTATACCAGAGCAACAATTTGAGGTTTTGTTTGCTTTGTCAGTCTCCAAAATTTATTTTCAGAATCTTGATAGAAAGGTGGTAGTGTCAGCCCTAATAACATTCAAAATTCTCATTTCAATATTCAGGGTAGAATGCTTAAGACTCCAAGTAGGAAACAAAAGGATTGAATTAGCAGACTCTTCTGAAATGAAATCTTACTTGGAACCCTAAGGTATAAAACAGAGAAGCAAAGCTGCTCTGGCAGTGGTGGGGATATCTGGAGGCTCGCTGTTGTGACCCCCACCCCCACTGCACCTGCCCCTGTGGTGCCTAAGTCACTGTCTTAGGACCTCTAGGGTTTTACTAAGCATACTGTGAAAACTGAACCAAGACTATCCCTAAGGCCCATGAGTCCATGAATGAACATTGGGGAGACATGCAAGGAAATCAAGCAAGAATTTCATATTTATTTATGGTAACAAATCTCTATTAGTTTAGATTTAAAAATGCAACAAGTCAATAAACCTCATGTAAAATAACATTTACATGGAAAGCGATCAGGGTCCTTTTTAAAAAAAAAAACAATGTTCATTTATATCAGTACCTTAAAAAATCTTGGCCTGGGGAGATTTTATTTCAAAGAACAACCACTAGTGCATCTTTTAAGACTCTTCATACTCCCTTCCTACCTCATCTGGACTCAAAAAGAGGCTGATGCAGAAGAGTCTGGTAACTTGCATTTTTACTCCATGTAAGAGAAAGTGTATTGTTTAGATTAATTGATCTCCAGTCAAAGGGCAACAGATACCACAAGGGACCTCTCAAAAGACATGGAGGAAAAAAGGCCAAGAACCAGGGTGAGGAAACCACAAGTGGTATCACTAAAGTTGCTGAGAGCCTTTGCTGACATTCCTTAAAAAGAATGGCAGAGGTGATGACAGCAGTAGGAAAAAGCAAATACTGTATGAAAATGACTCTATAGACACTGGCAATAGCCAAGGCCTTGGTCAGATAGTTCATTTGAATGCCACACCAATCACAGAACGGTCAGTCCAGTCGAGGGCTGGTCATGTGATTGGCTTCCCTAAAACAGCTGCTTCAAGGCAGTGCCCAAACTTGATACCTGACACAGAAAAAGAAAATAATTGAATTACTACTTTTAGTACTTACATAAGAAATGTTAAAGCAATTTGATGATTAAATCATTACAGCCATTAACATTAAAAAATTTTTTTAATGTTTTATTTATTTCTGAGAGAGAGAGAGACACACACACACACACTGTGAGCAGGCGAGGGTCAGAGAGAGAGGGAGACACAATCCGAAGCAGGCTCAAACCCATGGACTGTGAGATCATGACCTGAGCCTAAGTTGGACACTTAACCGACTGAGCCACCCAGGTGTCCCATCCTAATGTATTTAAAGACAGGAAGTAATGTTTCTTTAAAAGGTAAGGTGAGAGTGGAGCATTTCGTTCAGAGATAGCATAGTATAATGGAAACAGCATAGGTTTCAGAGTTGGGCAGAACAGATTCATATCCTGACTCTCCCAACACCTGTGTGACCTTAGGGGTCACCTAACCTCTGATCTTCAGTTTCTTTTTTAAAAAAATTATTTAAGTTTATGTATTTTAAGAGAGAGACAAAGAAAGAGAGGAGGGAGGGGCAGAGAGAGAATTCACAAGCAGGCTCTGCACCATCAGCATAGCCCTGATGCAGGGCTTGAACTCATGACTGCAAGATCATGACCTGAGCTGAAACCAAAAGTTGGATGATTAAGACACTGAGCCACCCGGGTGCCCCTGATCTTCTGAGGCTGAGATGGTAATGCCCAGAGTTGAAAAATGAGATCACATGTAAAGTACTTGGCACACTGTAGCTGCTTTAATGGTAGCTATTTATTTCCATTATTTGGAACTGAGCATCTTTGATAACCCTGGCAGAGTCATTATCTGGGAGAACAAGAGAAAAGCAAAAAGTCACTTAATGAAGCTGACTAGTTGATGAAGTGGCAGGGCTAATGGAGCATATAATATTAAGAATTTTGAGTTTTATCTTGCAATCAATGGGAAGCTATTGGAGGATTTTAAACAGTGGAGTAATACAATCGTATTTGCACATTTTTTAAGTGACCAAAGTACTACATGCATGTTTTAAAACTTTCAAACAGTATAGAATTGTCTGAAATAAATGAAAGTCCTCCCCTTACCCTCACGTATTTATTTAGCAAGATCATTTTAGCAGCTAGATGGTAGTTGGATTAAGGCAGAGAGAACAGTAGGAAGAGTATTTTTGCTAATTGAGGCAAGAGACTAGGGAGGATTGGATTCAAATAGTGCAAGTGGGCACATACTAGGAATATGGGGAAGCTGTGAGAGAAGTCTGGACTAACATGGAAAGGGAGTAGAACAGATGATAGGAAAGGAGGTAGGGTATAGAATAATGTGCCAATGAGAGGATCCCTTGAGGTTCCAAGGGGAGGAGGGGAAGGTAACAACTGATTGTGTTGAACAGGCTGCAGAGAGGAAGGTATGCAAATGGCTATCCCCGGTTGTATAGATCCAGAGTCTGCGTATCCCCTAGAAATGTTTATTGCCCCCTTTCAGTTTAAGGAACATAAGCATACCTCTAAAGTCAGATACTTAAAAGATTATTCACAAACAATGGTTTCTAAAGGTTTCACAGGAACATTTAGAAACAAGCCAAAAAGAAAACAAAACATCACTTGAATTTTAATACTGGACTTCAGTAAGGAAAGGAGGCAGGAGTAGAATGACAAAAAGGAAAAATAAAAAGAAGGAAATGGGAGTCAGGGACTCGGCAATACTTGTCAAGCTGTACCTGATACCTGTAGTCATTTCCAGAAGGCTTAGGCCATTTTCTTTTTTTTTTTTTTAACTTTTTTAAAAAAAATTTTAAAAATATTTTTATTTATTTTTAGGAGAGAGAGAGACAGACAGCGTGATCAGGGGAGGGTCAGAGAGAGAGGGAGACACAGANACAGACAGCGTGATCAGGGGAGGGTCAGAGAGAGAGGGAGACACAGACTCTGAAACAGGCTCCAGGCTCTGAGCTAGCTGTCAGCACAGAGCCCGACGCGGGGCTCGAACCCACGAACCGCGAGATCATGACCTAAGTGAAAGTCGGAAGCTTAACCGACCCAGGCGC